TGTCAAAAGAATTTTTGATGTTTTCAGTTGTCGCGAGAAAACTGAGCATGACAGGCTCAATTCGAATTTTTGAAAAATTAAACTTCATCCCAAAACCACGTATTTCGTATTCCTCAAGGTCAAACTTCCAGACTGGCACATATTTCCCGGACTCAAGATCGATGTCCTCATTGCGTGCTGTTGTCTGTCAGTGATTCCCCAGAAACCCGAGTGTTGCTCAAGGTACAGTGCCAGTGGTCATTTACAGAAGTTTGCAGCAGACTTAAGTTTAACTACACCACAAAATTCACAAGCATGTAAAATTTTCACACTACCGCTAAACAGCAATCAAAATCTGCACACACCTGCACCATTGAATTTTCGCTTTTTAAGCTAGTAAGTATAAATTTCTTTTGTCCTATTCAATCAGGAAATTGTCAGGCAGCATTTTGATTTATATAATAGATTAATAACAATATCTCATTTGTTAAAATTTCTTTTTCGTGAAACCAGGTTTCATCCAAGTTCACCCTCGAGCCCCTTTCCTTCCCTCTCAAGACTCAAGACTCTAGAATTTCCCATTGAGCCACCTGCTCATCTCGCGTTCTTCGCCTTCGAGGTACCAGACCCAGACGTATTTGACACCGTAATCTGCTTCAACAGTGCCTCTTCATCATCGGAGCTAATCACGATCTCTTCCCAGGCTTTCAGCTGTTCATAGGACCGCATCCATTCCCTTTGCTCATGCAATCTCTTTGCTTGGTTGGGCAAACTCTTCACCCTCGACTCTCGGTTCAAACAGAAGGAATTGTGCAGACTCAGGCTCACGTTCTTCGCCAAGTCTTCCTCCAGTATCGACTCTCTCGCCTTGGTATTGTTTCTTGACACCCTACCAACTCTTTTCCACCCCGTCGTGATCGCATTTCGATGGGTCAGCAGAGGTCTCCTGAAAGCTTCCGGTCCTATCTCGGCTAGGAACTGTCGATATTCCTTTCGATATTTCTTCATGTGATCCTTCGTCACCATGTACAACCAGGATGTCAACGTAGCTCGAAACCAAGGAAAGAACCTTATGCGGCTCCATACGTGTCTGACCTCCATTGGTATGGCGAATACTTTGCATACAGTCTCAAACAACTCAAGTCTCCTGCTCTAATCTATCGCGTATATCGACTCCGCTGTTGGCGTCTTCGACTCCCGATACTTCGTTACATTTTCCTCCATCCATCGTAGAGCCAGCATCGTCCTAACCACCAAGATAGTCACCTTCTGCTGATGATCGGGCAATTCTATCGACCGAATTTCTTCCACATCCCATACCAGGCAGAGGTTTGCGTGATCCGGATACCACACCGTTTGTGCCAGACAGTGGCATGGACATTCCCCATGTGTGAGGTCAATACTCCTAAGGTTGCGCTCTCCCGAGGCTTCTAGGAGAGTTTCAAGTTCCATCATCTTCTCCTGTATCGCATCGTTCTCCTCCATGTTTGGAGCACCACCCATAGGTTTCCCGATCACGTTTAGTCTCTCGTGGTCACTTGTGTTTTCACTTTCCAAACCCAAAAGTTCTTTACCCCAGATTTCACTCAAGTCATCCCTCTGTTCTCTCGGCACTGTCCCTCGGATTTTCCTCAACAACCTGTGTGAGTGATGCGACATCCGAGCCAGTCTTACACACCTGGGCACTGAGAAAGCCTTGTCTATTAATACCCTTTGGCTGGATACCTACACCATCGCCATGTGCAATGAGTAGTGGCTGCCGCATAGGTTGGCCATCACTGACCCCACTAAGGACTTCGCATTTAGAGGCAGACCATAGGCTTCGCTCATAGGAAACCCCATTTTCGCTTCAAGTCCAACTTTTCAGCTTTTGATGTGTTTCTAGGTTACCTGCAACACCCCGGGCCATGACTCCACGCTCAACGCGGTCACCAAGTGGTGTTCAGACTCTAGCCGCTCCAGTGACTGCAGACTGCACATTCTCCATTCTCGAGAAGAATCCCAGAGCTGATGTTATATTCACCGTGGTACTCGCGTAACACTCAGCCACTATCTGTACTTCACTCTTTTCCCTCTCTGTGATATCTTCAAACCAAGTGACTAGATCTTCTTTTTGGAAGGACTGTATCCTAACGCATGACCGTCCATCACAAGTGTGCTCGCCATTTCCACACGTCGAATCAAGACAACTACCCGATTCCATTTTCTTCAACGAGCCTAGTTTACTCGTCGCTTCGCTTGACTCCTTCACCTGAGGCAAGATCAGCTTGTGCACTATACTCAATGTTGCCAGATCTTCGTCCTCCACCGGTGCTAACCTCACTCGCTCCGTGACTTCCTCGATCAGGCTCGCATGGGGATGTGGACACCAGGAGGGCCTCAGTAATTTCCACACCAGTCCCAGATTCGTGACCAACATGCCATTCCCGTTACCCATCTTCAGCTCGACTCTTTTACTTGAGCGCGGTACGCTTATCACCTCTGGTGTTTTCTCGAGAATCAAACCCAAGCTCGGTCTCTCTCTCTCACTCTCTACTGTGTCTATTTCCAATATCTTCTCTGTCCAAAACTTTAGTAGCTCTGCTACTTCGTAGTTCATGTGAGCGCCTCCGGCTTCCGAGTCCACGAAAGGGTTGTACGCCATCCCCATCACTCCAGACACGTACTGATGTTCTCCCTTCTTATTGGGTTTCAAGTACTCTTCTGACGAGGCCAAGTTACGGTGTACGTCGTGTCCCTCCTCAAACTTCTTGTTGTAGAATCTCCGTATCTCGTCTAACTTCCTGTGGCTCTCTAGAGACTGCCTGGAACCATCCTCCTTTTCTATCCCAGTACTCTGGTATACATTCAAGATGACTGCTGAGATCCTCCTTTCCACTGCCTTACTCCAGATTGCCCTTTGCTGACATGCTAGGATAGTGCTGTCAGTCATCACCGACATTTTCCACCTCAAGAAACAAGTAGCATCTTTCCTCCTTGCCAGGCTCAAGCCTGAGTTATCCCTAGCAATGTGTTGCATCAATGTCTGATAAGTTTCTAGACTTTTTCAAAAGCCGAAAATTGTCTGAAGAAAAAAAAACACCCCGAGCACAAATATTCCGGTTCTTTCGTTACGAATGTCGGAACAAAATCAACCTTGTAAAGAGAAATCAACTCAGAGCGTCAAGGAAATATACTACAACCCAAAATTTTTCAGAAGTCTTTTCATTTTTTATAAATTACTGTATTTCTTGAAACGATTCTTCTGTCTCGAGCATCAAGACATATTTTTCGTTTTACCCATCACTGACCACTCAGCTTAATTTAGATACTAAAATTAAAATAATAGCTAATTCAATCGAGGCGGGGAAAAACAGATGCGAACCACGACCAAAAAATAACGAGCTTTAAAATGCGAGAATTAAATTAAATAATTTGGTTTTGAAAAAATTCCTCCCTAAATGATTACAACTCCCTATCTCAATGTTACCTTACAATGTTTTTACAACTGCGCCGTAGCGCCTGGCTGTCTCCGAACACCTGCCACCAAAAAAATTCACATTCTATTGAATGGCCAAAGCTGCTAAGTGATCTTTGTTATGCACAAACTAATGCAAGTAATAAGCACAAAATTCGTTATACAAAAGTTTGTTCATGTTCGAACACATAGGCAAAGCGGAGCTTCGCAACACCGTCAATAAAAATTATGAAACTTAAATTTTTAAAACACGGCAGTATAGAAAGATCCTACACGGCGAATTAAAAAACGGAAGAAAAAAGGATCTATTTGCCAGTTTCTTATAAAAATTTTCTCAAAAGCAAGAAAACTTAGCTCTGAAAAATAAAGGAGATCAAAAGGAATGAAATGCATCAAGTAAATCAACAAAAAGGCCAAAAAACTTATAAATATATAGCAAAAAAGATAAATAAAAAAAATGTGAACGAAAAACCAAACAGATGTTTGGAGAGAGATAAAAAGAACCGAAAAAACAAACGATTTAAAAAATTTGAAAGTTTTTCAACTTTCGAATTTTGCAGGAAGTTCTATGAGGTTCAGGAAATTCATAATTTTCTTCAAGTTACATTATTCGGCGAATTAAAGTCCATTTTTAAAACTAGAAATCATTCCCATTTATCGTAATCTTTTTCTGTTCGATAGTAGATTTTACCTACCTGATCACAGGAAATGAATTGAACTTGAGAAATCAAAAACCAAGCCGCGAAAAACCAATCTTGTGCGTGAACAACATTTTTAGACTGTTTCCCGAAACAAAACACGAAAAAAATTAATCACGACCTATATATTTTCGTTCTTTTGCAAATTAAGTGCTAAATATTTCCAATTTACAAATTAAGATAATTTTCTAGAACTTCACAAATGAAATTCGGACTCGATTACAGAAAAGCTAGAATCTAAAAAATAATAAAACTTTTTTTAACGATGTTATAAGAAATATATGAAAACATCAAAGTATAAAACGAGCAGTTTAGCTACACTCGTGTCAGGTTATTACAGTGGAGCGCAACTTGGTAGGCCCCCACATATCCAGGGATCGATACCCCGAGAAAAATCTTGAAAATTGGTCTAAATTCCCACCCCAAGCATATATATTCTCACTTCCTTCAATAATTGGAACACTTTTTTTAAAGTAAATTCAATTATAATTGAGAAGAAATCAATCGAATATATGCAAGCCCTCGACAAACCGCTAGAACCTGTATCGATTGAACCTTTATAAACTGAAAAAATATATAGAGCAAAACTCAAGAAAACAATGTGGCTAGTAAATGCCGAAGTGGAAGTACTTCAGCCGAGGAGCGTTTTTAGAAACCTGCGAAATGATGCAGTATTTCAATCGAAATACGTTTTTCAACAACTCGATTCGCTTACAGGAAAAAAATTTTACGATTAACACTTGCTAATCGAAGCTCTATTGAACAATACATTTTGATCTGAACTGTGTTATAAAACAACCTCGTTATGTAAACCGTTTCTTAGCCAAAGAGCAAATTCGATAATTGAATCACACCCACCTTTTTAGGCTTCTTCGGAACCGGCAAGATTTTCGCCACAAGAACCAACTTGACCCTAAAACAAAAATCATATAAAAAATCATTTAAATAAATATTCGTATCTGTTCCAGTTTTCAACATCGCTCATCCTTAAATGCGCATCAACTTAACGCTTTTTTGGGCTCGCGTTTGTCTTTGTTTTTGATATCAAAGTTTCCATAAGATCCAAGATTGGAACTGATGACACAAAAAAAAAGATTGAGAAGACTACTTTGACCGCTGTTTTAGCCATTTTGATTGATAAGTTATTTTGTATTAGAAAATAATACAAATGAATTTCATAAAACAAAGTTTAATGTTAAAGTATTAGTTCAGGCTCTCACCAGTAACTTGCGCTCACATAGAAATACCACACATCGCCGTAGCTTTTCACAACTTCAGTTTTAGCAGACTCAGGTGGTGGTGTAAATTGTAAATACTGTACAACTGACATCCCGGCAGGAACACGTAGAATATAGGATTCCTCACTTTTCACACAATTGCTTTTAACGACATCGCTGTTAAAAACTCTCAAAAGAGAAAACCCTTTCTTGTTCGGACATTTTTTAAACTCGACGGTCTGCTCAACGTCTGCTGGATTCTCGAACTTCAACGGCATTTTCCGATTTTTCCATGGCAGAATGGCTGGGAATTCGAGAGTTGTTCTGCGGACAAAATAATCCAAAGTCACAGCAGTGGCGTTTGTTTCATCATCCGATGGAGGTGTTGCTCTAAACAGAGGAAGTTCATCGAAGTCCATCACCTCGGCAGTTTCATTCCATCGACTTCGAGAACTTCTAGAGTATGACTCGTCTAGTTCGAGTCGACTGGACGACCCTTTCTTGGAGAACAGACGGACACGAGATGCGTCTGCCCCGGATCCTGGTTCTCATCATTGTTATCGCTATCAGCAGGGTCTGGGTCCTTAGCCTTGGCTCTGTTAGAGCTAACGAAGAGTGCATTATTAGATTTTGATGGTCCAACTTTGTTATGCTTAGGAGTTGACACTGATATTTGCGCCTAAACATTCATTAAAGACATTTTATTACTACTTCAATTAAACATCAACTTGTCTACTAAAACAATTACCAGGTAACTTCCAAACTGATTCATGGAAACTCGACAAAACTCCGTAAGTCTTCCACTCAAAACTTTCACTCAGAAAATGTTGCAAATTTCAGCAAAATTTTCAAAACACAATCTTAAATGAAAGTTTAGAAGTGCAAGTCGTCCACTAAAGTGACACACGAGGTTAAGAGAAACAGGACCTATAACCATTGGCTCAAGGGCCAGGGACAATACATCTTGTGCCTTTGCACCTCAATCTGTCGGAGCCATTTCCGTTCACTCAAGAAATGGGACATCTGTAACAGTCGCCTACTTCGGTCACATATGAGGCTTAAGAAAAATAGGCCCTATAACCATTGGCTCAAGAGTCAGGGACACTATCTCTTGTGTTTTTCTACGTCAAAACGGTCGGAGCCAATTCGGTTCACTTGCGACATGAGACTACAACCCGTGTTACAGCTTAAAGGCTACAACCAAAATACACCCGCAGTCTAGAAATAAGAACGCCCCCATGGTCAGTTCTCTAAATACCTAAAACACCTGAGCGCCATTAAAAACAGGGTCGGAAGCTTAAGTATACCGTTAGTTTTTATTGGACAGTGGTACTTTAATCCATTTCAGATGGATCAACCTAAAAACTCGCCTTGACTCAATATAATCACAACAAATGCACTCAAGAAATTTAAATTAGGTACTCGCTTACCGACTAGACTTCTAGAATTAGGTAAAAAGGAATCGTATAGCAACTCTAGAATTGATTCAAAGTAATTAAGTTCAGCCTAATGGTTGTGATAAAATTACTTAATAGTTTCAAATATTTGTATGGCTTTCGGCTACTAGCGAAAACCAAGAAGACGAAAGCGTTGGGTAAAGTTTTGCCTTCAATCCTGCTGTTCAGAACAAGCCCAGGTGCAACTCTTGAGCATGTCTGACCAACATTTTCATAGAGACTCGCCGTCAAATGCCTCACGAAACTATTACTCCACCATTGATGAACTGTTACATGCAGATGCCGAAATATTCAAGAAACTTCTTGCACCCCAAAAAAAAGTTGGTCTGCTGTGTCTTTTGCGAGAATCTATTTCGCAATTACGCATATCCACAAATATGCAACATCACCTCTCTTCTTTTCCTCACATTGAGAAATCAGTGAACGAACTTTCTGAATCTATTCTAAACGCAAGTTACTCGGTTTCTCATGGAAATTCTGTTAATAAAACACTTGAAAATTTCAATAAAAAAATCGATGCTCTAGCCAACCGTGAATTAACTATAACCAGGCCTCCAAGAAATGAACAACTCGAAGAAACTATTGTTATCATGGGGGTCGATGAAGCAATCCGACTATCTCTAACGCCAAAAAATTCACACATGAAACGAATAGCATTCAAAAAGTATTCAATACCTTGAAATGCAACCAATTGGAAAATGTTGCTGATTTCCTCAGAAAGGGCAAATACTTTTCAGGGCGAAAACCACGATCACTCATCATGAGGTTCAAAAGCTCGTTCGATGCTAGAAAAGACAAAACGTCTGCTGGGAACTTAAAAGACACAGCCTTATTTCTGAGAGGCAGTTGTTCCGTGGAAGATAGAATGAAAAAAAGCACTTCTGAAATTCAGATACGAACTAGTACAGAAGGGAGTAGATAAAACTACCTCAAGAATACGGGGACTCAATCTATATTTCAAAACTGTCTGCTTGGATACAACACGCTCTGTTGATGCAGTATTTTGCAATCTAGCCAATACTGTATTCAATCTAGTCAATCTAGCCAAGCTCCTGACTGTATTGAAAGAACTAAACACATCTGACAAAAGAAGCAACTCCCCATGTACTTAAACTTCTTGTCCTTAATGTACAAAGCATCATGTCGTTGAATCTTCGAGTGTCACGTGTAAATCAATTGTATACACAGCATCCCACAGTCAGTCTTCCTGAAACTTGGTTTTCTGAAAATATAGACAGCTCTCATGCTTTTCCCGGCTCAGATTACATTGTGTCTAGTCGAAGTGACAGAGGCAAAGGCAAGCATGGCGGTGTTCTGCTAGCAGTTCAATCCGGCATCTACGATCTCTTAGACCTTTCCATGTCGAATATTGAAATCGGCTGCGCATTTGTTATCTCTCTATAACTCTCTATATTCCTCCGCGCGGCAGCGCCTACATCCTAGAGTCCGTTAACGTACTCGAGTTCATATCTACTACAATATCACAATTTCGGAACCTTATCATGAATTCGTGTTCCAATAGATCAGAAATAGTTGTTTGCGGTGATTTCAATGCCCCGGAAGTTGATTGGAGTTCCTTCTGTTCGCCTTTGGATACCAGTCAAATGCTTATTGACCAACTTGATCACTTTCAATGTATCACCAAACCTACTCACAAAAAGGGAAATATGCTTGATCTTTGCTTTGTATCCAACATTGATGACCTTGATGTACTTGATCCTGTGCCATACTCTCTGCCTGATCACCATGTGCTATTGGTTGAGTTTTACATTCCTAAACCGATTGAAGTAAATACTCCGACATTGAAGTCTTCTCTATTGCCGGATCAGTTTCCATTAAATTTATGCCCTATCACCCGAGTGGCGCGAGCCAGTGAAAACCTGGAACCTATTGAGTTTTTCAATGAGTTCTTTGCCATGCTGCAAGACTCGTTTAGCCGGAATAGTAAGAGCCGGAGGGCAAAACGCGTGAAGCATCGATTTTATTATTCCTCCTATAGCATACATCTCTTGAACAAAATGGAGTCTTTGAAAAAGAAAAGATCTCGTGGAGATACTGTGTACCAAGACTGTGTAAATAAACGGGAGTCTGAATTCTTGGAATCAGTGGAACTGGACAAAATATCTCTACTTACCAATCTTGACAATTGTTCTATAGCAGACTCTTTTAAAATACTCAAACTTCTTTCAAGCCCCAACCCAATTCCTTCGTCAATTACCTGGGAGAAAACATGTGCATCAAACGACTTAGCCAAAGCGAATTTATTCAATCACTACTTTGCTTCAGTGTTTAGTCCCTCCTGTATTAGAGAAAATGACTTTATAGTACTTGCTGAAATCAAATTCCCCGAAGTCAAGCTATCTCTTGAAAATATTTCTCATGCTCTCAAACGCTGTCCCAATAGTAACGCCGTGTCGTACGATTTACTTCCATCTTCGCTACTCCGCAAGTGTTATGAATGCCTAATGCCCTTTGCTTATAACTTGTTTTAAAAAGTTCTGATTAGTTGTATGTATCCTGAAAATTAGAAACGTGCAATTGTGACTCCTATATTCAAAAAAGGAAGGAAGCCGCACATCTGTCAAAAACTACCGACCCGTCAGTAATCTACCTCGACTGTCATTAATATTCGAATGTATTCTTTTTAATCATATGTATTTCTTTCTCAAACAAAAATTATCAGATTGTCAGCTTGGTTTCCGGACTCGACGTTCAACTATCACCCAACTAATTGCCTATTTAGACAAATTATCCATGGATTTGGACAACGGCAACACCCCCATTGCGGTTTACTTTGATTTTCAGAAAGTGTTTGATAAAGTGCCCCTTCACTTAATAATAAGCAAACTGCGCAGTTTCGGCTTCAATGAAGACTATGTTTCTTTGTTCAAAAGCTACCAACATGGAAGATATCAGAAAGTTAAAATTAGTGGGGTCTGGTCCAGTGCTATCATCGTTACCAGTGGAGTCCCACAGGGAAGTGTGCTTGGTCCATTACCATTTGTTATTTTCATCAACGATTTGCCTGGTACCTGTTTATATTCAAGTTGCTTCATTTTCGCCGATGTTAGTAAGCTATGAAAAGTGATCCAAATCTCCTGCAAGTTGACATAAACAATTTTATTGAGTGTCCTTGAATCAGAATAAATGCAAACTTCTTTTTTCTCTCAGCGAATGGAAAACGAAGTTAGTCTTCTCCTTGAAGACGTAGTGATAGAAGCTGCACTGTGTGTAAAGGATCTTGGAGTAGACATGTCTATTAATGTATCATTGCGGACACACATCAACAAAAAAATCGGAAAAGCGAAGCAAGTGTACCATCAAATTAAACGGAACATCCCATACTCTGCTCCTAGTAAAACAAAACTAAATCTATACAACTCATGTTTTCTAGCCAGTTTATTGTATGGGTCAGAGATTTGAGACGCTGACATTACGAGTTTCTGCAAACTTGAAAGCCAACAATGGAAATGCCTGAAATGGGCCTGAGGGAGTTTGGCAACAACCTATTCCTCCATTTTAGTTTATTATCATGTTTTACCTATATGCTATCATGTTTTACCTATAAGCGGATCTGGAGAACATGCTGCCGGTTTGAGACGATGGAAGAATGATTGCGGAGGAAGGACACATAGCCTTGAAAGATGAAATGAAACTCGCCACGAGAAAGTACCAGGCGCCCTACGGACTAGAGTAAGTGGAAATGAAGCAAGAAGAGAAAGAGCTGGACGCAGCGGGCTCCTTGTATGTAGCCCCCGCAGGCCCCAGCTAGACCCTCACCCTTGTCAGTGGGCACCCCTGGAGATAAGAGAAGCGGTCCCGTGGAGACGAGGTCTGGAGATGTGCTTGAGAGAAGGCGAGCTGAGTCAGAAGGGGAGATCATGGATGAGACTCTCAGTGAAGCAGGAGAAGAGATGGAGGTGGGGAAAACACCTGAGCCGAAACCAGCGGAGAAGGATTTTACCACTCAGGAACTGCTGCAAGACTTGAGTGAAGACGATTGGGCGAACACTGCTACACAACCCCTGACGTCATCCCCTCGCAAAAACCTGGAGCTACACTTGAGCAGCGAGACCTCCAATATGGGGATGATTCTCTTGAGTGCCAAAGAACAAGAAGAATGCCTTCGAGGGCAATAAATGGATATTCTTGAGTAAGCTGGATGAAAAGATGTGGCTAGAATTCTTGAGTGAATTTAACCAGAAAGCAGGGACCGAAGCTACACTGGAGAGTTCAAAGAAGAACTGTGGGACACAGTGGTGAAGTTCGGGGAACCAGTTCGGATGGGCACCGGACTGGATGAAAAGGCGAGAAAAGAGTTGTTGGACAAGATGATTAAGCTGCGAGAAACAGAGCAGAAAACCAAAGAGGATGAATGTAAAGACAGCTCTACTCTGAA